GCTTAAAACTAAATTGAGCTGAGAGCGACATTACTGGATCGGGTGAGACTATAAAAATGAAGAGTAGCATTACCTTGAAACACAGTATTTCAATTCGAATTTTTCTACTAATCCTATCATGTCTACAACTCTACATTTTTCTCGTATCAAAACTGAAAAAAACCAGGATGGTATATTATATAAAAGTTACTTATATCGGTTAAAAAGTTCAAATAAAAACGGAACTGAAAAATGGGTCTGTACTCGTAATTGTTGTTCGTGTTCAATTACAATAAAAGATGATACCATAATTGGTAGCAGTGGTATTGATGATAACGGCACTCATTATCCAATGCATGATCCAAAATTACCGGAAAATGTTTTAAATTGTGTCAGTTCAATCAAAAAACGTATTTTAGAAGAACCAACAACTCCAATACCTCAAATTTATGATCAACAAGTGAAAAAATTTGTAAGTACTTTGTGAGTTTTCATTAATCAAATTAATTTAATTCTGTGAGTTGTTATGCTTTTTTTAGAGAAGGGACAATGGAAGTGCTTCCACGGTTCCAGTATTTGATTCTATTAGACAATCATTATATTACACTCGTTTATCCGTATTCCCATTATTACCAAAAAACATTAGAATCACTCGTTATACCTCAACAAATGGCTTGTACTTCATTAGATGAGCAATTCTTATTTTGTAATAATCCATATCCATATCCAGTATTAGGTTTTTGTTCAACGTCAGCGTTAGAAATTCTCGGTAAAAGTCAACACTGGAATGCTGATGGGACTTTCGTACGGCACCAAAATTATTTTATCAATCATATAGTATACGTACATGGGATGAATATAGTATGAAGCGAATTTGTTCATGCAGCGTTACCAAATAAAAATGAAACATCGTATGAAATTTTACTTGATCGCTTATTATCATATGCAACAGAACAAAATGTGGCATTAAGTCCACAGTCAATTTTAATTGATTTTGAAGTTGCTTCATGGAATGCTTTCTCGCGTAAGTTTCCTAAGTTTCCAACAGCTAAGGTGAAAGGATGTCATTTCCATTCTGCACAAAACATATGGAAAAAGATCAAGAAGTACGGTTTAACAAAATTAATCCTAAATAATGGCAACGCACGTCGGCAGGTGGCTAATATGATGGCATTGCCCTTATTACCTCCAAATGAGGTAAATGAAGCATTTACAATCATATCGAAGGTTATCATGGGCAAAACCTGGTTTTTAGAAACTCTAAAAATAGCCACAACCTTTCTTAATGGGGGATGATTGTAGACCGCAAATTTCTAAGTAAAATGAGATATCTCCCAGCTCTACATGCCCTTTCTTTGCAAAGTTATAGAATTTATAAGAAAACCCCTAAATTAATTTCTTCTTATTTCTGCAGCCATGAGCTGATAATGAACATTTAAGGCTTTTCGTGTAAATTCTACAACTTTGCAAAGAAAGGCCGTGTAGAGCCGGACGATATCTCATTTTAATCAGAAAATTATGGTTTTCCAGAAATTCGATCTCTGGAGGCCTAGCAGCACAGACGAATGCCGGATTCGGATTTAGTGCAATCGATTACCTATTGTCCACTAGAGTTAAAGCAAAAAGCGATTGCACACTTGCGAACCTTTCCTCATTAGTAGTCCCTGTGCCTTTCATTTTCTTAATTAACCTTTTTCTTCTTTTAAGGTGAGCGAAACAATCTTTTCTTGTTCTTGTGCAGTATTTTATCTGCTCTATCTATCTACAGTCTTAGTTTTGCCTAGTCCTTTTTAGTTTCGACCCAGAGGCATAATTATATTGCTACATGTATGACATGTATAGCCTATAGCCGTTCAATGTCTAAATATTTGCGGAAATATTTATCGGTCACTTTCCGGAAGAGAAAACTTAAAAACACCTGTCCCACCTCCCACCGCCAAAACTTTTGTCCCACCTTAAACACATCACTAGAATCGTAACGGCTAGCACATAAAGTCTCAAATTTTCGACTTCTGGAATACTCGGATTTCTAGAGACTTAAGCTTTAAACTTGCCAAAACAAATTTTTAAGCATATCAGTTAATAGAGCATGTACGGAAAGCTATGTTCCAACACCCTTTTCCGCTAAGTAACCTTTTTTGGGCTGAAAAGCAGAGAAAATTGCATTTAAGATTCTGAGTCAAAAAAGTCAACAACGAGGCTCTCACCAGGAAACAGAGTTTTGATAGACTTCCGCGTAGCAGCAGAAAAATAATAGCGGTTTATACCTGTGGTAGGCGATAGTGTGACATAATTTTGTTAGTTTGGTGGATTTTGTTTATAAAAAGAAATCGATCATATGATATGATAAGAAAGCCAACAAATTTAGTTTTAACAAAAAGCATTAATAACATGTCTAGTAAATTAACAGCAGCAGAATGTGAATCACAATTAAATTTTTCACACGTATGTTTTCCGAAGAAAAAACTTAGAATGGAATTATTAAAATCTGATTACTCAGAAATGTAGCAAAAATAACTTGCTGTAAATTGGCATGAGTTTCCAAAAGTTTGGTTTAGTATTAACGAAGAACCAGACAAGCTCATGAGCTCAGGTGGAACGTTACAAAAATCATCAGGATCACTCATATATACTTTAGTATAAAACAATTATTTATTAGTAATACATAATTTATCTAATTCAATTGCATTCATTTTCATTCTCTGAGAAAACTTTAAATATGGTTCTAATTTTTCTGGTGTTAATTCTTTATACTTTGTAAGAAAATATCTTTTTATGTGTTCTCGTTGTCCTTGCATTAGTTGTGTATCATCTAATTGTTCACATTGTTTCATGTCTACTTTATTTTCCACTAACGGGCCACTAACTCGAATGCCGAACCAACAATTCGGGTCACGTTTCAGTATTAGACTTTCAAAATGTCTATCATTCTTTCGAGGTTTAATAAGAGGTTTTTCTTTCATTGACCTTGTTAACCGTTTTCTTAGTTTGTGTTCATGTCCTGTCCAATCTATATCTCCCTGAAGCCAGCAGAATGTACCTTGATTTCTGTGTTTAATAACTACATTATTCTCTAGTAGTGGTGTTAGTGTTGGATATTCTTCGTAGAAATCATTGTTTTCATCTTGTACTTCATAATCATTTGCCAATCTAGGTGTAGGACGCGGAAAATCACGAGTTTCATCAAAATATGATCGTTTTTCTTGACACATAGTATCTGCGTACGGAAATGGTGCATCATTGATATCACCTGTTATTGTAAATGGTGCTATGTTGAGTTTTGTTACATTTGGTGCTTTTTGTAGCCAACGTTTTAAACATAAAACTAATTCATCAGAATTATGTTTATCTACAAAACAATCCCATCAAGAAATACAAAAATAAATAAATCTATAAACCTTAACTATAAACTTACTAGAGAAAGAAGTATTTCGTTTATCATCATCATTTGTTTCTTCTGTGTTCTCACCCTCCGATTCTATATCGCTAATTACATTTTGTAAACTGTAAATTAAAATTTTCATATCATCTTCTTTAATTCTTCCTAAACTCAACATTTTATCTATGTGTGTTGAATGAATTAATTCTCGTTGTTGTCGTCGGTTTTCATCATTCTTTAATTGTGATGTAATAGTTGATGTTTGTTGTAATAGAGAAACATAGCCTGGTTTTGTATAATGAAGCTAAATAAGACACAGAAGCACAGAGATAGGTGAGTATAAATACAAAATAATACCTACGAGTTCCAGTAATAATTTATCATATTCTAAATCAAAATGATTTTTCGATCCGTACAAACAGAACACTAAAGGTTTTCCATCCAGTAATTTTCCAAGCCATCCAGTTAATCTATAATTTTGAACTTTAACTGGTATAATTACTTTACCAGATTGATTTGCATATTCTAATTCTTTTTTGCATAATTTATTTTCATAATAATTTTCACTAAGACAAATAATAATACAATCTGATTTATCAATTTGTACTAATGATGATGTAGTGACGGAATCCATCCATAAAGAAAAACCCTCATCAATAAGACGTTCACCTAAATGATGACATATATTTGTATCTTTTTGACAATAACTTAACATTATATTATAACATTTAGTAGTAGAACCAACTGTTGTTGTGTTAAAACTGTTACTCCTTGTTAATGAATGCGCTGCTGATCTTGGACGTGATGATAATGATTCAATTATTTTTTGTTGTTTTAATAAATCAATTATCAATTGATATTTTCGTTTCGCTTCGTTGGTACCATTGTTTGTTCCAATTAATTCAAGTTTTTGCTCTTTATTATTCTCAATTATTTGTGGTAAAACACATCTCTCTTTACAAAATTTATAATATGCATTTATCATGTGTTGATTCCATTCTTT